GTACTATATAACATTTTAGACACATTCTAGACAGTTTATCAGCTAAAAAAGTTAATTTCGGGGTAAGTTACTCTTTAAATTCAACTGTAGATGATCTTAAATCTCCTGAGTTCCCCAACGTATTCTCAGCCTGTTATAATTCAAGACAAAGAGGGGTAGCAATATTAATACATAAAAATATCAACTTCACAGTATTAGATACAGTTATTGACCCGAAGGGCCAATAACTGTATCTAATAACTGTATAATAATAATAACTGATAATAATAATAATAAACTGTATAATAATAATAACTGTATAATAATAATAACTGTATAATAATAATAACTGTATAATATATATAATATTAAATTTTTCTCTATTTAGCCAAAAATACTGTATTGCAAGCATATATGGTCCAAATGTGGATGATACCTCATTTTTTCATGATTTCTTTTCTGTTCTATCAAATCACCTGGATTGCTCACTGCTTCTTGGAGGCGATTTCAACTTTGGTCTAAATAATAACATTGACAGGACGAATACGGCTGGAGCTCAGCGCAGTTGGCAATCCACAAACATACTTAAACAATATATGGGTGATTATGGACTTTGCGATGCATGTGTGCTCTTCACCCTGACACTAAAGAATATACGTTCTTCTCACATGTTCATCACTCTTATTCTCGCCTGGACTATTTTTTAGTCAGCAGTTCATTGCTGACCAATATTTTAGACAGTGAGATGCACCCTATTGCTGTCAGTGATCATGCACCAGTATCTTTAACCTTAGTTAATAAGAAAGAAATAAAAACAAACATAAACTGGAGATTTAATACATCATTGCTCAATGATGAACAGTTTTTGAAATATTTTAAAGAGGAATGGACATCATATCTAGAGTATAATGACTTACCAGGAACATCAGCATCAACACCTCCATGTGACTGAGGCAGGGCATAAAAGCCTGAATTTTTGCCTGAAACTCTCAGACTGAAGAAGTCTCTTGGATAAGAGATGAAATGTTTCATTAGAGAAGAAACTGTCCAGAAGACCTATTCAATTTTTTTCTTTAAGATGGGTTTTACTTCATCTAATAACTGCTCCCATTGCACAGGCAATGTGCCAGACAATTATAGAGGTTTTGGGTCAGGGTATGTGAAGATTTGTCGAAGTGTTTGAATTGCTATATTCCACCCTCTCCGTCTGTTTGCTTATTGGCAATCTTAGGTGATGTCACTAAAGAGAAAAACACTTCTCATATGATTTCTACTGCCTTATGCATAGCAAAGAAAACCATACACTTATATGAAAAAAATAAAAATGATCTTAGCATTAATCAGTATAGAAATCTTCTGTTAGATCAATATGGTCTTGAAACAGCCTCTGCCGCCACATCAGATAAACCTGTTTGGGCTCCTTTGATTAGTTTCTGTAATGAGTGGGGGATTGAGTTTCACAGAGCCAAACACCAAAGCAGTTTTAACAATTTTATTTAAATGGTGAATGCTGGATCTGGAGTAACAGGACACGGGAATCAGGAGTTCTGAACACAGAAGAATAAGGTTAGTGGCTGGACTTGACAGTGGGACAAAACGTGAGGAAAGGAAAGCCACTAACC